CAAGAAGTGCTGTTTATTTAGCATGGTGGGTTGTGTTGTACCACGTTAACCCTCCTGTCTCTTCTCTCCTCCAGGTGAGTCGTGTCGTCGCTCAGCTGGAGGCTGAGAGGAGCAGCCTGCAGACTCCGTGAAGCCAAGCCTGGGCTCGTCTAGACCACCGTCGCCCCCTAAACACACACATTCACCTGTAGCTCAGGGTGCTAACTCGTGTCCATTTTGACCGGCAGGAGGAGAACAGGGGGCCCATGGGACAGGTGAGAGGCAGGTCACCTTTAATGTCGTCGTCACACTCAGCATTTCCACTGATATACATACTTACAGTATTCTTTAAAAGTTAAGACCTTTATTTATCGGGGAGATTCATCTGTTAATGCAGCTCAATAGTCAAAGAAAGAAAAGTGATCGAGTGATGAATAAAGATGAGAAACCAAGACTAAGTCTCAAATAAAACTAAAATAATATAGCAATGATGAGATATACTGTATACACCTTTCACCTATTACCCTGAATAACTGCACGGGATAATTGCGTGTTATATATGTGTTTGTGTGCAGCAGTTTAATTTAAGGTACAGCACACACACACACACACACACACACACACACACACACATTAATTTAGGCTTCTCATTTTTTATGAGTCTCAACTCGGTGCAGTAACATATGTTAAACACACGGGGGCAGCAGAAACACTTGATGAAGATGATGTCAACATGTGGTTACGAGTAAAGGACGGTGTGATCATCCCTTAGTGTAAAGTTTAATCCTCTTTTTTCCTTATTCTTACCTGGTTGTTCAAACATTGTTGTGTATTGTAGTTTTGTGTTTTGTTTGTTTTGGGGATTTGCAGTTAAATGTAAGTTACGTACATCATCCTAGAATGTGTAACACAATAGCTGCAGAGAATACAAGTAAATAACTGAAACAAGGAATGAGAAATACAAGAATACAAAAATATGTGCATCAGACACACAGTGTGAGTAGTTTGATCATTATTAGATGCTTTTTGGCTGAATTAAATGACAGCAGACCTGTAGAGAGGGTAGTGTGTATTATTGAATGCTGGGCTCTAGTCAAACTGTAATGAAGGTTCCATGTAGAGGTGCATTGTGGGAACTCAAAGTCAAACAAAGAGGTGGTGTAGCAGTAGAGGCTCCACAGCTCATTTCTACCTCGGGTCCCCCCTTGTGGGTAAAACCAGCGAACAATTAGATGTGTGTGTGTGTGCGCGTGTGTGCGCGTGCGTGTGCGTGCGTGCGTGCGTGCGTGCGTGCGTGCGTGCGTGCGTGTGTGTGTGTGCGTGTGTGTGCGGCTCGCCATAAAGCAACAGAGACGAGAGGACTCTTCCATGAAGACGCTGCATCGAGAACTCAGAGGTACCAGATGGCACCAAAAGTTTCATTCTGTTAATGATTTATTTTAAATTACAGTGAATTACTGTCACAGACTGGCTTTTATGGGATGTCGTCACTTTTCTGTTTTATTTTTATTTGTTGATTTTACGAAATTATTTTATTTTATTAGTTTATTTTTATTGTAGCTTTCTGTTGCTTTTACTGCTTTGTCTGTCAAAGCACTTTGTAAACAGACCCAGATCCTCCAGCAGAGACCGGTCCACCGTGGACAGACCCAGATCCGTCTTCACCTGCAGCCTTGGACCTGTAGACGGAGCTCCGGAGGGAGGAGGAGAGCTCAGCTCCCGGCAGCAGCAGCAGCAGCAGCAGCAGCGTCTCCTCCTCCTCCTCCTCCTCCAGCAGAGCTTCTCCTCTCTGAGAGTCAACACCGACTCCACGCTGCTGGAGACCCAGGACGTATTGCTGGACCCGCTGGACGGAAGGGAGGTACAGGAGAACCAGAACCAGGACTGAGAGGAGCAGACTGTCAGACCCTGCTGCAGTAAAATGAGAGGTTTTCTAAAGGGACTCTGGTGCACAGAGACACTACCACTTTATTCCACAGGGGGCGACAGAATCAACACAACATGAAAGTTCTTCGTAGTAACTTTAAAGGAGAACAAACAGTGAAATGCTACTATCAGGCTTCTGTCATTGGTCAAAACCGTGCATTGGCTTTGTTTTAATTGTAACATTTCCTGAAATAGTGTGCACTTTAAACAGTCCATGCTGCAAGCTGCTCCCTGTTCACAGTGCACCTTCAGACAGGACCAGTGTTTCATCTGGCAGGCTGATTGTAACTGGTAATCTTTATGAGCCACCCCTCCGGTTTGCACAGCTTGTTGACGTTGCGTCGTAAATGTGTTGTTTTGATTCCCACTGGTTGATTTTTTGCAGGCTTCGTGCAAACGGGAGTCAGAGTGGGACCTCTACCATCCAACGCTGGGAGGCCAAGAGAGCTGGCTCACACCACTGGAGGATCCGGGGCCCTGTGAGGGGCCGACTACACGATCACACCGGTTATAAAGCAACGTATCTCACACCGACTAAAGCAGCGACACACAGTGATCCTTTGTGTTTATTCAAACGTTAAACGGTGACCAACAGAGAAGGAATAGATAGCAGCCACGTGTGAAATAGCAGCTAGAGTCAGACGTGTACGTGTACGTGTGTGTGTGTGTGTGTGTGTGTGTGTGTGTGTGTGTGTGTTGTCCTCCATCTATATCGATCCAGATTTAATAATGTTCAGGAGGGAAACATGCACTCTCATCAAAACAAACTGTACAACCATAACATCTGATATACTTCTCCATTGTACAAAGATACTTATTTTTTTTTTGTGCCAACAGATTATTTATACAAAAGTATTTTTTTTAGATAACACTGTATATAAATGTATGATTCTCCACCTGTCATAGTTGCTCTTACGTACAGAGGGTTGGCTTGTTATTTGGTGAGTTAACTTGTATAATGTGAACAATTCAATAGCAGAGACTCTTCCGTCTTCAGTAGGAATTGTTCTTAAATCGGGTCGAGCTGTTGCTGTGATTTCCTCTTCTTGAGCGTCCACTGTTTGATGAACACATCTCCTTTGTGATTGTACTTCAGGCTGAAGAGTTGAATGTAGATACGAGACGCAAAGATCCTCCGTTTGATGTTGCACTTCGCTACAAATCCTGAGAAAACAAACATTCACCTTTCTCTTTTTTGTTTAGTTTTTTTTAGTTTTTTAGAAAAGTTGGACAAATCTTTATAAACCGTACAAACACTCACAGCAACAAGAGAGATCAAATGCAGGCAAACAATACATCAGTGGTGACGGCTGGTCGTGGCTCTCTGCAGCCACAAGAGGGCAGCGTCGCGACACAAATCAAAACCTCCGACAGCAAACGGAAAAGGACACCAGCCTTCAGGCTCAGGATGCTACTGATCTAAGAGCTGTCGGGGACTGAAATCACTGGTTTGCTGCCAATCTTTAGTGTCTGATATATTTAATTTTTTCTAGTTGAAGCTACAAAGAAGAGAAACTGAGGAAACATGTTGCTTAATAAAAATAAAAAAAAAAATAGCATGAATTCTATGCACGTGATATATCCGCTAAAATACAAAAATAGATGATTTGAAAGTAAATTTAAACATAGAAAAATATATATATAATCAAATGATATATATGCACATGATCAGTGGTCATGTGACCCATGCTTTAGATTGGTTAGTACAGACAAACGTTAGGCTTCCTAATTGAAAACAAGTGTTCTGATAATGTTATAGGCAAGAAGAGGCTTTCTGTATCATCCTGTCGGCTCTGATGAATGTGATGAGGGAGGGAGGGATGGAGGGGGGGAGGAAGGGAGGGAGGTCACCACACGGAGCATTTGTCCGCGGGGTTCATCGGGGAGCTCTTCGGACAGTGGAAAACACGGGAAAACTCATCAAACTGGGAAACGCTGCCAATCACCCTGCAGGGGGAAGGAAACACGGGAACGTCCAGTAATGTTGAGATGGAGAAACATCTGCAGTCACGATGCAGTTCAAGTGCAAAAGTTCAGGCTTTTCTTTAACATTACAGCCATATACATCTTATTTACATCTAGTTGAGAACATATTTCTTTATTGTTAAATATTGTTTTTCTTTCATGCATCATGGTGGGTTTTCTCTCTCAAGTTAGTTCCATGTTGAACAATAGAAATGTCATTAATCAACATCAGAAAAGTCAATTGTTTAGATATAACAATCGCAGAAACGTGATTTGACATATTTTTAACGTCACCATATCTTTCTTAATTATTTTTATTGGGTTTTATCATAGTGATCAGTTGAGATCTTTCTTAAAAGGTAACATCAATGTCCACAAATGAAACAAAGTGATGACTTTCTGTTTGTGTTTTGTGTTTTGTGTTATGCGAGTGAGTAAACTGTACCTGTAGTGCTCCGGCGCGTGTTTGTCAGTCAGCAGCTGCAGATAGATGGACTGAGATCTTCTCTTCATGCACCAGTTCTGGAAATACAACAACAACACAACAGTGACCCGACCCGGAGACAGTTGAGCCAAAGTGGGACAGTCTGGCTTCCAGTGGTGGCAAGTACCGAGGTACATTTACTCAATTTTGAGGTACTTGTACTTTACTTTTCACATTTTCTTGTACTTCATCTCAAAGGGAAATATTATACTTTATTTAATACACTACAGTTGTTGTAAGAGCTTTAGTTAGGCCTACTAGCTACTTTTCTGATGAAACTGATGTGATGAGCTTATAAAATTCATGTTTGAAGATCAAACCAGTGTTTAACAAACCTTTTGGCAATTACTTGTTGTTAGCAGTTCCACCAAAGACTGATTTCCCCTCTGAACCTCCAGTGTGTTTCCATCTGTCTTCACAGGAAACTGCTTAGTTAGGTTTAGCAGAAGATTGTGGTTTGAGTTAAGTTAACTACAGAAGTGTTGTTACTTAAGTTAAGGAAGTTACTTGACAAATAAATCAACGTTGACTTCTCGTTTCACTCGTGGGCACGAACAACGGTCCCCTGGATAAAAGACCGTTTTTTGTTTGACTCCTCCCCTTCCACTTCCTCTTTAGACCTCCTGGTTCATGATTACGTGGATTACATTAATAAATAGCTGGTTGAGTCCCAAAGAGGTAAAATGATCCAATATTTCACAGAAAGCAAAGATTAAAGAAAATAAATTGTGCAGAACTTTATTTTTCACCTCTTATCTTCCTCAGTAATCATGTCACGACCCCTCAGATTGATCTTGTGACCCTTTGGAGGGGCCTGACTCCTAGTTTGGCAACCTCTGGACTAAACTACATAACTGGCTCCACCTCGAACAGCTACAACAGTTAAATGCTACAAATGCATTGATTAATTAGTACTATTTTAATGTAATACAATACGTTATATATGAATGTTTGCACATATACTGTACATGGTTTTCACATCACTTCCCCGTAGCAAGAGTTTTAAAGTTGAAAGCTAAAAACACTGCAAATTGCATTAAAAAGTGTGTCTAGATTTTCGGTTACATTAAGCCATGAATTTCAATGAAACCATTGCATTTCAATGATGGTGGTAATAGTTACAAAGAGCAGGGGTGGTCTAGTGCTTAGAGCCACGGCACCGTCATCAACGCTACGTTTTGTGATCCGTCCAACGGTTAACGGATCCATCAGCTAATGCTGGGATAATACATAACTCCTACCTGCTCCCTGTGAGCCGTCGCTCCGACGGAGAGCGGCAGCTAAAATGATTTGACATGTAAATGTAACGAAAGACGACAGCGTAAAAACCACTGGGAGGCTTCTGTACCTGTGCAAAGGCAATGAAGACCAGCTGTTCGTGTGTGTATTTGAGCCCAGGCAGCGGCCTCTCAGGTCCATGTTCCCTCACCCACTTCTGATACGCCTAGAGAGAGAGAGAGAGAGAGAGAGAGAGAGAGATAGATGGAGAAATAGAGTGGAGGGAGTGAATAAAGAACACACAACTTCCCCTTGTAGATATCTCAGCTGATCTAAGTGATGGACCAACAGTCTCACAGCTGTTTGTGAAATAGTCAAGAAATGCTATCTGTTGGTTCGGTTTAGGCAACAAAACCACAAACAGTTAGGTTTACGTAGCAAAACCACCTCGTTGGGTTCAGGAAAAACATCATGGTTGGCCTTAAAATAACTACGTTCAGTTATAATTTTATAAAATAATACAAAAAGTTATGTTTCGTCAACATAACTACGAACAGTCATGTTCCGGCAACATAACTGCAAACAGTCATGTTTCGTCAACATAACTACGAACAGTCATGTTTCGGCAACAAAACTGCGAACAGTCATGTTCCGGCAACATAACTGCGAACAGTCATGTTTCGGCAACAAAACTGCGAACAGTCATGTTCCGGCAACAAAACTACGAACAGTCATGTTCCGGCAACATAACTGCAAACAGTCATGTTCCGGCAACATAACTACGAACAGTCATGTTCCGGCAACATAACTACGAACAGTCATGTTCCGGCAACATAACTACGAACAGTCATGTTCCGGCAACAAAACTGCGAACAGTCATGTTCCGGCAACATAACTGCGAACAGTCATGTTCCGGCAACAAAACTACAAGTTAAATACACAGAAAACAAGGGATCCTTTTCATACTAAATGAAGAAAAGTAATTTATGAGGAGTAAAGACACATATTTTCAGGTGCTACTGATAGAGTTTGTGAAGCCATGAATTTGTACATTGATTGTCCAATATTACTTACGTAGTACGACAGTTTGAGTCCTCCCATGTCTGCTATGTTCTCCCCCAGCGTCAGACGACCGTTCACCTAGACACAAAGAAAGGAAACTTCTGAAACGCTGAAAGCTCTTAAAGTCTCTGCCCCTATACTTCTGTGCTAGTATGTACAGTACATGTACTTCAAGGATGTACTTCAATCCTGGATCTGGCATGTGATAAAAATACATTTTAAGAAAAGTTCCACATTTTAGGAAATTTGCTTTCCTGTCAAGAGTTAGAGACAATCATTTTCTGCTCATCTCTGTCGGGAGACTGTTACTTTAGCTTAGCATAAATGCTTAGCATAAACACTGGAAAGAGCCGGGCACAGCTAGCCTGTTAGCTTAGTCTGTACAAAAACCAAAGAGTTACAAGTTAAGTCCCCAGACAAAGCAGACTAGCGGTTTTCATTGGCGAAGTGCTCCTTTAAGAGAACATCCATGTAATCAAGCGTATCTATTTGTAATCTGCACACAATATTACAAAAGTCTTCCACAGAGAACAATTGATGGAATCAGCAATAACAATAAATCAAGCTGCATCATATTAGAGATGGACACAGACTTGCTGACACATGTTTTCAAACATAAATATCAGCTGACCCATGTATGAAATGATTGTTTGTGCAGTGTGTGTGTGTGTGTGTGTGTGTGTGCGCGCAGACCAACCCTCTGGTTGTAAACGGTGAAGTTATCGTAGAGCTTGACGATGCATTCGGCCTTCTTCTGGAACTTCCTGTAGGACTCCTCTGTCCACCACTGTTTGAGGTTGCCGTGGCGGTCGTACTGGCCCCCTAGGGACATGAACCATTGCATCACTAAGATGAAGGGCAAAAGGGCAAGGGGGGGGCAGTGTTAGCATGGAATGGAGACAACACAACCTGCAACTTTCCTTCACAGTCAAAAAAGCTGCCCAGCACGCCATCTTTGAAGCCTTCTTTTGTTGCTGCGGGAGTCAAACCATTTGGAGGCAAAACGTTGTCTGGATGACTTTGGCTGATTCCGTTCAAGAACTTTTCCAGCAAACTAAATATAAAATAACCGTTTGACTGGTTGGTGTGTGAACTACCAGCTTCTTTGGCAAAGATATTCCAGTACTTGGTAGGTGGTTCGCAGAAATATTTAAAAGTCTTCTGATGTGTCTGAAAGGGCAGCACTTTTGACTGGAAATGAAAGTCAGAGATTGTGGCTCAAAATAGTCTTTTTTTTTTTTTTTTAAGGGTAGATCGTACAAATTACACAAATCATCAGGGGACCCTTTGCTGCTTCTGTGGAATAGAATAGTTCAGTGCAATAGAAGGAGAACTCTGAATGGTGAAAGTATGGGCGTTGTTGTGATGGATTATAGGTGAAGAGGCTGTAAATTCTTACCCCAGTCATCATATCCATGCGTTAGCTCATGGCCAATGATCGCACCTATTCCTCCATAGTTCAGAGACCTGGCAGCAGGAAGGATAAATATGGACCGTTACACAAAACTAAATCTTTCTAGGTATCTACAGTAAATAATCATATCTGTCTGTTGAATATGAAGCTAGATCCAAGACGCAGTTAGCTTACCATAAAACATTGGAAACGGGGGAAAGCCTGGCTCGTGGTTGTTGTATAAAGTAAACAAATGAGATTTTGTTACCTTTGGACAGAGCCAGGCTAGCATGTTTCCCCGTCGTTTATGCTAAGCTAAGGTAAGCTAAAGATCTCCTGACAGGAGAGTGGTATTTATGTGGGACTTTCGAAGAGAAATCAAAGATTTGAAGTCCCAAACTCATGCACGTTGTACACAGCTTCAGAAGTCATCGCGGATCATGAAATTTGAGATATTTGCATTTGTTCTAATGTAGAAATATCTAGTTTACTGTTACTTGCTTGACAGATGCCCAAAGTTAGGTCTGTGCTTATGCACTTACTGAAGAACAAAGCAATATGCCATTTGACTGATTGCGGTCGTCTCATCACAGACAGCTCTGTGGCTTTCTTCTCTGGTTTTGTCCCGTTGTCCTCATTGCTAATTCTGCTCAGCCGAGCCAGTTAAAATGCAAGTTGCACTCGGGATCTAATTTCGGGTCCGTGTGGCTCAGATTGGTATAAAAAAAGCTCAACGCCACATTTCTTTCCTGCTCGCACTGATTAGAAAACATCTGTTTTACGTGCGAGGGAAAATCTGCATTGAGACCTTTCCGGCTGCAGTGTGAGCATAAATCTTAATTTCCCAAGTCGTTGAAAACAAAATGCAACAACCCGTAACACGTCCCCACAACCTGCTCGTGTCCCCAATGCTTCCAAAAAGCAGCGGGTCGCTCAACCTCTCCTTGACCCTGGGCCGAAGCTCGAGTGCTGTCTTTTGCGCCACATGCAGATATAGAGAAGGATGAAAGGGCAGACTCGGGGCTATTCACATGGCTACATCTGAAAATGACTTTCTGACAGCTAGTCGATACGCTGCCTCACACCGGGCCTGACTCCCCTGCTAAACTAACTGGCTGATTGAAGCTTCATTATACTCGTGGTGGTGGTGGAGGTGTGTGTGTGTCTGTGAGTGAGAGAGTTTATGGGAGGGTAGGGCTACTGCAGTAATAACTGGCTTGGAATAATACTCAATACTGGCAGCAGTGGTTTGCCCCTCAGTGAGAAGATTTGGAGGAGCATACAAAGGGTATGTGGAAAACAAAAGAAGGTAGTTGTTCACCTGCTCATTCCTCGGTGCTGCGGTGGTTTCTAACTGGCCATTTTCGAACGACACGCCAAAGAAATGTTGTAGATTGATTTTATACCTTCCAGGCAGCCGTTTGTTTTGAATTCATGCCAGTATTGTATGAAAATCAGCTTGCAGAGAGTTGAAACTTACCTGTGACAGGTAATTCATCACTGAAAATAATTAGTTTTCTTTATTCTGAAGGTAAATTATTTTCAGTTGGCAATGGTAACTGTTAAATAACCCTGTGGAAACACGTTTTTGTTCGAGTGTTCAATGTCCATGTTTGCAAAATTCTCTGCTTCATTTTTATATTTCCATGTAATAACCATGGGAACCTTTTTCAAAACGGATGCATACCCATGTTAATAATAAAACTAGTCAATGGATATTTTTACACACAGGAAGTCAAACAATACATTTATGGTATGACGTGTTCGGTAGATGGTCGGGAGTCATAATTAATCATTTATAACAGTATAATTTATATAAGTTTATATGCACAGTTAATAATTCATGGAGTAAAACATGCATGGACCTTTGAAACATTAGAGAACGGTATAAATACAGTGATTGTGTTTCAGATGGAGTTTGTATTAAACCTCAAAACCTTTTTGGTCCAGACTGAAATTAATTTGAAATGTATAAATTACTTAGAGCAAGTATTGAATGTCTGGTCAGACTTGTAATTTGTAAGAAAACATTTAACACTTGAGAAGTTTGTCCTCCTTTGCTTAATGAAACCTTTTTTAGTACCCGGTATTCAAAACCTATATATTGAAGTTTCTTTTGGTTCAATTCAGATGTAAAAGTTAAAGTTGAGTCAAAAATATCCACTTGCTCAAATTGGCCGGATCAAATTCAGACTCTAAAACCAAAGATGAGCAATGGAGCCTGGATGGCAGTGATATTTCATTGCAACAACTTAAATTAAAAATAACATTTCAACATTAAGTCTCAAGTCTTTGTGCTCATGTCCAAAGTCAAATCCCAACTTTGAGTTTCCAGTCTTAAACAAGTCGTAATACTATTATAATTTTTCAGTTGAGCTGCTTAGTTGGTGTACTCGCACAAAATCATCTTTCGTATAATTCTGTGTCTGTGGTCGAGTGGATCTGAAGGAGTTAAGTGTTGTCTTGTTGGGAATGAAAAACGTTAAAGTTAGTTGATTCAGGAATTTAATACATTTTTGACACACTTCAAAAATAACTATAAATCTTAGCGCTTGGGAGAAGATATCAAGTATTTTCAAAATGATGTGTTTAATCGTTGATGAAATTCAATATTAAAGTGTAGTTTTTGGTATTGTTATCAACACTAGTATTAATACATTTGGGCTACTTTTGAAGTTTTCAGTGTTTAATGGCATAATGATTTAAATCTGTTGGGGAAATACTTGGTCCTTGTTTGGCATGATGATGACATACTTTTAAAAATTGTATGCATCACAAAATGCTGCATTGCCTTTCCGCAGCTGTATATTTGTAAACATATTATCGGCCATGAAATACTCCCATATCTGTCACACCTTGATTAAAATAAGCGTTTTCTTCTAAACGTGCTTCTGAAGAGGGGGATCTTTTGTGCTCTGATTAAAGTTCCGTCCAATAACGCCGTGACTCTAATTCACGAGTTTCTCATCACAGAGAGCTCGCTGAGATAAATAGAAGCCATCGAGTCGGACGGGGGAGGATATCTACTTTCATGCGCCATCAAATTACTCGATGGACTCAAATTTAGGGAGGCGACCTCTCAATGACACCTGTTCCATTAGCGGCACCTTGTTCAGTAATTGAGCTCTTGGTGGGTAGTTAAATTGGTTTGTTGGGACTTCGGGGAGGCAGAGCTTTGCCAGACTAACGTAGCCGTTAATGACCTTTGTTGTTGTGGCCGTGGTGATGCTGGAGCCTCCCTATAGGACTGAAGCAGGCACTACTTACTGTGGGAACTCGGGGTTATAGAGAGTGGGCTGGAGGATGCCGGCAGGAAAGACTGGAAAAGAGATAAAGAAACCAACATGAGGGAGGTGGTCCGGATACAACTCGTAAGAATATCACACACTGGTTTCAGAATAAGTTTTTTTTTTTTTTTTATGAAAGTCACAGTGATACAGTCTCCTTTAGATGGAAAACGACAGTTAGGAGGAAATGGAAATCACTGATGCCTTAAAGACGCGAAGTGCAGCTGCTATAGAGGACGATGACGGAAAGTCTCTCGATTTGCCCAAATTTCTGTCAGCACACAGAGCAAAAATACAAATCCGTCTCCTCAGCAGCAGCAACTACTTGCTTCATGCAGAGGAATCTGCATTCACCAACGACTTCTTAACTTCTTCCAGTAGCTTTAAAATTATCATATACAGAATATTATCATTGCACCTATCACAGGATGACAGCGGCACGTTGAGGTAATTTAAGATTCATTTGACAAAATAAGAAAATGTCTCTCATAGAAAAAGATACAAAAGATTGTAGAGGTGAGGAATTTGGTAATGGACTGATAATTTACTGTCTACATTTTGATAATTGATTAGTTCCAGCAAGGCGGCAACCTCCGGTTCTGCCAATTGAAGCCGATACTGAAGTCTCTTCAAGCTGCATTCTCTCTAGTGTCCACCAGGGGGCGACTCCTCTGGTTGTATAGAAGTCTATGAGAAAATGACTCTACTTCTCTCTTGATTTATTACCTCAGTAAACATTGTAAACATGAGGTTATGGTCTCAATCTCTAGTTTCAAGTCTTCTTCAATATGCGTGCTCCCCAGAGGATGACTCCTAATGACTAGAAAGTCACTTTTCCTGTGAAATCTACAAGAAGACATTCATGTTCCCCTCAGGATGAGTTGTAATGAATCTTAATAACTTCGGTGATCCTCTGACTTTTCCCAGTGGATCTATCTGCAACACTTCCCATCAGCCTCGGCTTAATCTCTATAAACATATTCTGCATTGTTATGCAAAGAAATACAGATCATAAAAGGGAAACTACCTTTAGAGAAGAATGTTTACCGAATGTTAATTTCCTTTGTAATTTTTGACTGTAAGAGCGAGAACAGTTGTAACCGAGGATATTGGTCATTCAAAGAACTCCACTATGTTCGGGAGCTCCTTTAAATTCAATCTCTTTCCTCGTCTCCTTATCTTCAAACTCCGGTTTGAAGATAAGGAGACGAGGATCCTGATTCTAGAAATGTAATAAAGAGATGGAGGTAAAACTTAAGTTTGCAATATTAATTTGATTGAAATAAAAAGAAGAGCAGGAAAGTGAATACAGAGATGAGAACTGAAGTGGCTGGTTGAAGTGAGTGAGATAATGTGTGTGGGTTAAGAAAAAAGGAAAAAGAAATGACCCAGGGGGCTCTGATGACTGTGTTTTTCTCCGACTCCTCCTGTCCTCTAGCATCAGCTTGCGAGCACGCCATTGATTTTTCTGCGAGAGATTTAATCCAGCTGGCAGGCAGACAGACGAGCGGGCCGATCACGGTGGAAGACGAGGGGGGAGGGGCTGACAGCGCAAGGCCAGATTTGTTAAAAACTCGGGGACGGTGTTGCCGCTTGTTTTTCCCTCCAGGGGGGTATTAAGCATGTGAGGTGCAGATCAGAGGAGAAAGTGAGCGATGAGACGGAATATGATATGAGGAGGTGGACGCTTTTTTTAAATTTCCCTCTAAGCAACATGTTTGAAAAAACAGGCGTCAACATGGTGTAATTGCGTGTAACTAATGCGCGGTCCGTGTTGCGGTGCAGAATGGCAATGAAGAGTCACGCACTCACCCATTTGGTTCTTGTTAGGGAGGTAGTAGGCATTAAGGGCCTGAGGGGGGAGAAGCCACCTGGGGAGAATAGTATCAAACAAACAGGGTTTTAAAAGATGGGATCCCTCACGCAAACACACACACACGCACACACACACACACACACACACACACACACACACACACACACGCACACAAACACACATTAAAATCACCAATTTTCTCGAAAAACCCCTGATACCTGAACAAAATCCCAAACACTTCTGTTTGTCTTTGAGTGTTTGAGGTCTTTCTCTCTCGCAGACATTTTGAGCCCTTTATTGAACACTTTCCGTAAATCCGCATTTCTGCAGACTTTGCCCAAGGGAATTACCCACAATTCATAGCAATATGACGTTAAACACGGGGATATTAGTGGAAGCAGGAGACATAAAAAACAAGGTAAACAAAGAAGTGTTCAGCCTGACAAATTACATATACTCTGAAACAATAAGGATTACAGGTGGAACATACACACCTTATCTATTCAAACATTCATTTTTTTGATGTAAATAGATTATTTGAAGTCTCGTGACGCAAAGAGCCTGGAAGACGATCAAATCCTGGACCCCCGGAACTTAACTGACGTCACCTGTTAATTGTTTTATGGACATTGGGATCGGACTTCTCTCTAAACCCCCCTGGTGAGAAATACTCAGTGTGTGAGCTCCCACGGCCAAAGTTCCTCTGCTCAAACCGGACAGTTCCTTTATAGTAATCCACTTAAAGCCAGACCAATCGATTGGCTGTAAAATCCCCCCAAAACCTCTATCTGTGAGAGTGTGAGATGCCCTTGTGTTGTGTTCTAGGAGTGAAAGACTGATGGCTCTGCAGTGACTGTGGAGTGACGGAGAGGAGACAAAACACCGGGACGAAGAGGAGGAGGAGGAGAAGTGTTTTTCTTTCTTTATTTCCCGGTGACAACACAGAGTGAGTGATGAAAGGTTCACTTTATTCTGGGCGATAAAGGAAAGGAGTGTGTGATTTAACTCTTCAGGGCGTCAAGTGTTGGCTAATGACGCCGTGGTTCTGAGCACCTTGGAATACTAATGTGACTGTAATGTGTTTTTGTAGCAGATAGACACTCAATCCAGGGGTTCCGTTTACTTTTTTGTTGGAAAAAATGAAACCGCATATCCCACAGCACTTTTCATGCAGCCTGGCTGCTGCAGATAAGTAAATCAAATGGATTTTCTCCAGCTGAGTGTGTCGATTTCGGTATCTGTTGGTTTAATTTAGAGGCGCATCAACAAATGTGTCAAACTTAAAAAAAAAAGGAGGGACACGCGTTAGGCGTGTCAAACATATTAAGAGACCGCGGCGTCCGGTGTGAAGCCTCAGCTGCACGAGCTCAGGCTGGATTTCAGATATATTAACTTTCTTTAATTGCTTTGCGCCGCGTGTCTGTAAAATGAGATTAACAGGCCGTTGAAGCTCGTGTTGACGCGAGGAGACGATGACACTCACGCATTCTTGTCCACTTCCTCCCGGATCTTCTTGACCGACAGCTTGATGTTGAAGTTGATGCTGTTGAGGATGTTCTTGAAATACGTCTTCTCGTCCACATCGAACTGCAAAAACAACAGATATGAAGTTATTACAATACATTTAAACAACATTTAGGCAACATGTTAATGTTTCAGCTTGTCAAGGTGGAGCTAATTTTATCCACTTGAAACTAAATGCATTTCAGCCAAACTGATATATTCCCGATATATTCCTCTGACAAACACTAAGCACCTCAGAACTGCACTGAGTGCAACACTACAGGAGTAAATGCACCTTCCCTACTTTGAGCACCTCCTCCACGATGCACACACCCGGTTTTACAGGTTTAAAACGGGATTACACTTTCACCTTTCCCTCCCACAGTTAAACTCATTCCACTCGTCCCAAGATGTTCAGCACATGTGTCTGTTTATACTGTTGCCCCCCCCCATCTAGTTTTTTTGACAGCCGAGGTTTCACATTCACCTCCTGGTTGCATCAACATACTTAAAGTATAATATGTATTCAAGCGGTCTCAGCTGTGTTCCTCAGGTTCATTTACCCCTGTGCATGATGTAGGGCGCATGTTAATACCAGAGAGAGAGCGAGAGAAAGGGATGCTGGGAAATGGCATTTGCTCGTGTGTGGTGAGGACGACCAGACGAGCTCAGAGTGGAACAGGAAGCTCATGACTCACCCCGTATTCTTGATCTATGAGCTCAGGTTTGAGCATGAAGTCCGGGTATCCTGTCATCACCATCATGTGCTTCAGCTGGGAGAGAAGAAGAAGAGAGTGATGGAGGAAGTGGAGGAGAAACAACTGGTCCAACGTCGCCCCACATCCACTTGTGGTTACTAATACCCAGACACACACACACAAACACACACACACGCGCACATCAACTAATCAAGCAAACTCAATGTAATAGGATTACAGGGAAGCTCTTTATATTCAGCACGGCCCTCTAAAAGGATTATAACTTCAGATTGTAAAAGTATTAGACGGGATATCTTGCAGTGCAGACCCTAAATCGGCACCACAGAGAGATCCGGATTAGGCGATCCCCACTTCTCAATGTCAAGCCCTTGATGTATTCTATCACACACTTCCATCTAACCAAGCAATCAATCAAACCCCCCGGAAAAAAAAAGGAATTGCAAAGAAATAATTAAATCCTTTTTCAAATACTAATGGGATCTGACGGCGAGCGGTGTTCTGGGATGCAGAAGCAGAGTGAGGCTCTGAACCTTTGCCCTGGCTGCCTCCTTGGTGGCTTCATCCATCCAGTCCAGATCCTGCAGCCGGAGGTCCAGCGAGTGCTTTATGTCCTCTACCAGCTCCTGGACCTGGAGGGATTTCACATGGATTTATAAATGCACTTTTATTGAGCACATAGATCATATTTCACATTAAATATTTCTGCATTCTGCGTTTTTCTCACTAAAAAGTCAAACTGAGTGAGAAAAAAACAAAAGCAAGGAGCAAAATCAGGAAGCTGCTGGTGTGATGTTGCTCCACTAGTGTGTGCTGTTGACATTTAAAAAGGTACGGTCGGTTATCTTGAGAAACTGGGTAAAGCACGCTGGATTTAAAAAATGATCCGATCTAAAAACCCAGCCCAGTGTTGCCAACTCTTGTCCAAATGAAAGTAGTGAGTAGCACTAGCTCCAAAAGTTGCTAAATTTAGCGTGACGGCAACACCGACAACTCATCAGACACCCCAAAAATGATCGTAAACAACAAACATGGCGATTGTTAATTCTCACAGCTTGTAAGATAGCAGCAGCGATGAGTGAACGGGCAGAATACAGGCAGGTAGACCGTCCAATCGTTACACTCGGACCAAATAGATTAATCGGACGAGCTTATTGAATTCCTGCGACAGCCGTAGATACCAGATTCTGTTTTTGTCAGAGCGCAATTGATCGCTGTCTGGATGTAAAGCCAATTTCAATTTAAATATTCAAAAAGTTTTTGAAGAAGAGTACCAACCCTGCCTTTAATGCAAGAACTGTCTTCTTTAATATAAGAGTACCATATATCACTAAAACATTGTCTCTTTGCTCAGACTTCATATTTACACAAGTAATTCATTCTTACTTGTGTACTTGACGTTTTTACATAATATTCTCGTCTTCATCCATCCTGTTATTTAGTATATATATATATATATATATATATATATATATATATATATTAGAGAAATGCAGAGGAACTTGTTGGAATTCCCCAAACCTAAAAAGTTAAAAGGTGCAGTTAAAGTGGTCACAGATACTTCGGGGTTGCTCGTGTTACTAACAGACGATTTGGTTTGAACGGTGGATTTTCTTCCACCTTTGTGAACCCACTGCTGCCGCTTCTGTGTAATGTGACATCCCATGTCCAATATGTAATTGCCACTGACCTTATTTGCAGCTAAAACACGCAAGTGGAAGCGTTCAACCGTCACAGAAATTTCGATTTCGTTTTAAAAGAAACCCCAGCATGGGACACCGGTCTATTTTCCAGCTGCCAACACTGACGCAAGTCAAAGTGGCTGAAATGGGACGCTTTGACTCGAGGTCTGTGATTGCGTAAAGTTACAAGTTAAAATGTGCCCGAAACTGATTTGATTCACACCTCATTTCTTCTGCTGATCTATAAATAAAAGTATCAGATTGAACTTGAATATTAAATATCAATATTATAAATATACTTCCTCAGGTTCATAGTTCTCCTGGTGTGACAAACAAAAACAAGGATGCAAAAAAAGCCCAAATAATCTGCTTTGATAGCAGTCAGATTTCTAAAATGTATTTGATGTGGAGGTGACTTCCTCTTCATGGATTCTTCTGGAATTTGCAAGAAAGAAAAAAGGACGTTGTCAGTACTTAAAGTTTCTCAGTGGCTTTGCAGCTTACTCACATTTTAACTATTAAAATACTAAAATTGGCAAACCTACATTTTTCACGAGCTGCCAAATAGAAATACCAAAGCTCTTGGTTCAAAACTACTAATTGGATCGTCTTAAATTAAGGATCTGATATGAGTGAAAGTACAGCTGATTTCAGAGTTAAGTTGGAGCTGCTGGAACACATTCTCTCTCTCTCGGTCGGTGGCCTACGCTTCCATCTATGGCGCTCGTTACTTGCATACATTATACCTTATTAAAATAAACTTCTGTTTTCACAGGAAACAACTTGGTTCATTAAAAGATTGTAAAAAATACTTGATTAGGTTTAAGGTAAAAAATCGTAGTTTGGGATAAAATGAGTACTTTTGTTACGTGGTGAAGTAAAATGAAAATATCAGGATTAAACGTCTGCACAAGGCAGCAGCAGGAGAACAGAGTCGGGCTCAAACGCAGACACACGGGAAGCAGGAGGAAGATTAAAGGTGATTTTAATAAAGCAAACGTTCAAACTAAACTTACACAACACAGGAGGTGAGGCCGATGAGTTCAAAAGCAATAAGAAGACCCAAAAGTGAAACAATTAACCCATAAATCGATCAACTACCAAAATTCAAAAGTGAGCAACTGAAAATTCAGTCCAGAAATGAGCAAAATGACAAATAAACAGGATCAGGTACACAGCCAGAAAAACATAGCAGACGAACCAACCAGCAACCAACCAAAACTATAAATACACAAGAAACTAATCAGACAACGAGACTCGATGACGACAGGAGGTCACGCTGAAAGCTGATTGGTGGAAGAAACACAAGGAACGGAGCGAAGCTGACGAGATGAATACAACACACGTGATTTGACAGGAAGTCAAAGGACACAAGAGGCAAGGAACTTCAAAATAAAACATGGAAACAAACTAAACCAAGATTATGACAAAATCGTGTGTAGGGCAGCTGACTTCTGTGTCTTTCCCTCCACCATAACTACGTTTTTTATGTGCCTAAGGAACCGTTTCGCCATCCAAACTTTAAAATACACAGCAGGACCCAGTTTTGTTACAACCCTTTTTGAATTTTTCCTATACTATATAAACTATATTCAAGTTTTTTTGAATGTGAAAAACATAATTTATTTAAATTTACATCAAACTTTTCCAACATCAGTGCTTCTTGAGGAATATTTTTTACCGTCCAAACTTCAAGAAACTTTTAAGAATTATTCTGGTGCTTTTCTCAAACTACCGCAAAACAACGTCTGACACCGGGACGCGTGGTGTGCGATTCAGGAGAACAAGAAAGCTCGTCTTTGCCCCCCCCCCACTTGTCTCCCGTCTCTCAGCCTCGGCTCCCCGAGACTCATTAGTTCCTGTTCATGCTGAGGTAAGCAGCATCAGTGAGCAGGTCTAGGTACCTCTGGTGTTGATAATGAGGTCTCCAACCTGTTTGGACATGCCAGTGTAGACGGACTCAGGTCTAAGCAATGATCTGCAGCGGACAGCTGCAGTAACCCAGCATAAGATTTTCTACCCAGCAGTATATGTTACATTCAACACGGACGGTTTCAATGATGTTTAGATGCTGGATTCACTGTAGACGAGATCTTATAATAAAGAAATCATTCTCTACTCTTTAATTAATCAGAAAAGGCTCCAAATAGCTTGAAGCATCATTGAAACTTACACTTTAGTATCTCAGTAGAATCTTAAATTGGGAAACTTAAATATCAATTACATAGAAAGTAATTAGCGGCCATGAATGTCTCCGGTTGTGTCCGACTTGCTTCATGCTTTATAAGTCCTGAGGTTTCGGGTGGAGATTTAAAACGATTGCGAGAGAAGAAGAAAGGCCGCTCAGTGTTGGATAACGAGCGTAGAGCAAAAGAAGAAGAAGGTGAAAGGGAGATGATGGGAAGCTTAAAGAGAGAGCGCGGGGTTACAGAGATCAGAAATGCTATTGGGAACCGTATCCCCATGTCGTGAGAGTGGACATGGCACTGAGATAAGAATACATATGGGGAGGATTAAGGTGAAAGAGAAGGGCAGAAGAGTGACTGACCAAGACAGAGAGAACACAATAGAAACATATAAAAAGTCCAGAGACTAGAGAGAGGAGTCTGATTGGTAAGGAGGGTATTTTACTAGATACGAGTGCAGGAATCAATCAAAATCATTCGGTCACGTCAAAGTGACCAACCAGAAAATAAAAATAAAGAAACAATATTATAAGAAACAAAAGAAGGTGATGACTTCCAGTCGTGGAAATTGTGGAAAAGTTATGAAATTCGCAAGATCAGAGAGATGTTTTATGATTTAAAAATGTTGTGAAATGTTTTTCATTTCCATCGTGGGACAATCAAAGCTTGTTTTCTATCTTGAGATACTGACTATTTTAAGTGTAGTTAAAGCTGCTTTAATCAATATTTTCAAATTAAAAAGCAATTAAATAACTAACGTTCCCACTTTAAATTTTATTTGCTTCTACAGCCCACGATTGACTTGTTTTTAGCCAAAAGGTTGTGATAAACCTGTGAACACACGACATTCTGTACTCAAAACCCTAATCAGTGAGTAATATTGGGGAACACCTGGTTGCATTAGCCTGGTGAGCTCAAGTCAGTAATGATTGGAGTTAAGTAAAGATAGAATTGTCTGACCCTGGTTCGGGTCTGAAATTTGGCACGTTAAGTTGTTCAGCTGGCTCGCGTCTCAATTTTATTTAAATGTCAAAAGGTTTAAATTTAAAGGCCACTTGAGTGGAGTTTTGCTCCTTTCTGGATCCAATAAATTGAATGAATATGGAGAAAACCTCTGAAAACAGGACAGAATGAAGGACATCGGAACTCATCAATCTACGCAACGCATCCTCTTACAGCGGTTCGTATGATATCCTACAAAACGTTACTCCTCATTCCTTGAGCCTTTCTTTATGAAGACATGCAACACGTGTCAACATTCATACAGTCCTTTCAAAATAGACTTCTGTCTTCACAGGAAACTACTTAGTTTCAGGAAAAGATCGTGAAATATTTGGTGAGGTTTAGGAAAAGATCGTTAATTAGTTAGGTTTAGGAAAAGATCGTGAACTATTTGGTGAGGTTTAGGAAAAGATTGTTAAATAGTTAGGTTTAGGAAAATATCGTGAACTAGTTAGGTTTAGGAAAAGCTTGTTAAATACTTAAGTTAGATTCAGGAAGAGATTGTGAAATATTTGGTTAGATTTAGGCACAAAAACGACTTAGTTACTTTTAAAAAAGATCGGGAAATATTTAGTTAGGTTTAGGTAACAAAACTACTTGGTTAGGTTTTGGAAAAGATCGTTGTTTGGGTTAAAATAACTACGGAAGTGCTTTTATGCAAGTTGCGTGACTAATAAATCAATGTTTACGTCTTGTTTTACATGGGCGTTGAACAGTGGTCTCCTAGCTGATAGACCGACGGTTGTTGGACATCCACCAAACTCTGTTGGTTTTTGCGGTCTTCATACCCCCCCCCCCCCCTCTCCCATCCATACCTTGGCCTTGCTCTGCGAGGAGAAGTGCTGCTGGACGAACAGGGCTCCCAGGGCCATGCCGAAGTGTTTGTTGGCCTGAGTGAGGCAGAGCCGGCCCAGCTCTAGCTGCTGCTCGGTGCCGTCGATCTCCCGAGAAAACTCGTGGATGGTGCTGCGGAAGGCGGTGGACAGGTGCTCACTCAGCGCCGCCACGATGCGCCACAGCATGTAGTTATGGAGGACCCTAGGAGGGAGGAAACAAAGAAGGAGGGATGGATCAGTTGCATTATCATAGATTTGATATATATATATTATATATAGGTTTTTCTCTCCTTTTAATTTTTTATAAATATTTGATTACAAAAAAAACATGAAAACAGTCTGTTTTGTTGCCTAAACGGTTTAAAACTGTGACCGTGCGAGTTGGAAGAGAATCGGTTCCCCCTCGAAACGTAATTGAGAGTACATGTGTGTGTATAGAACTCAACAAAGGTGCATTTTTATTTCTTATGAATTAAACATTCAACAGTGGAACAAAAACATTCTCATTTTTACTTTCAAGAGTTGCATCGTTATTGTCAGACTGTGGAACAGTTCCTCGACTTTTCTTTGTAACGTGACATCTACTGCGTCTGGCTGTTATCTCCCTCCATCTGGCTCACAGTGCTGTTTTTGCCATCTGCCCTCTGAGCTCCTTTAAGAGTCACGAAAGTTAAGAGACAAAAACAGAAAAAAGCAGACAGTGATGGAGAGCGAGTGGTGAGGAGTCAAGAGGGCCCGGCGGTTTTAAGAACAGCTCCCCTCTAATCTGTAGTGACTCACAGCCAAAAAATGGATCATTCATTTATGCATTCAAGCTGTGTCTTCTTCCCCCTCCAGACGACGGAGCGCTGGTGAGTCCTCGTGCCCCCACTGGGTGCACACATCTACTCTGCCCTGCGGGGACAAATGCCTCCCCCCCCACATCTCCCCTCTCTCCCACTGCGAGGCTCCATGCGGACCTCAAGGCATGTTGTTTTTTTCTTAAATTTTTCCGTATGCATGACAGATATTAAATCAAAAGCGCCTTGGCAACAGCAACAACCCGAGGTACCGCTTGTGAATTGACGTGGGGGGGGGGGGAATGAAAGAATGAGGAGACTCAGGTGGTGCCCTTGATCATCATCACCGTCAACTAATATCAGCGTGTGTTACAGGTGTGGCTGCTTTTGCTTGATTAGCTTGTGTCATTTGTGTTTTGTTTACCTTTCATTGTCACACTTGGACAGGCGTGAGTCTATAAATGCAAGTGTGTGTGTGTGTGTGTGCGGCTGCGAGTGTGATGGAAGTCATCTATATGATAATGGTGAAACTTCAACATGTGGGGGGAGAGGTGGGGAACATTTTTTACTTGAGGCATCGTTGAGGAAAAGTGATGACAATCATCTCTCAGAGTAAAGCTGGAATCAAACGTGCGGCGAGAGGGTTAACGGGAGGGTATGGATGTATAATATTGAGAATTCACCTGCTGATAGCTCGACTGCAATATTAGTCAGATGTGTTCAGAACGTATAGAGGAGAAGCTCTGCTCCGGAGGGAGGAGGAGAGCTCAGCTCCCGGCAGCAGCAGCAGCTCCTCCTCCTCCTCGTCGTCCTCCTCCTCCTCCTCCTCCAGGAGCAGAGCTTCTCCTCTCTGGGAGCTAACACCGACACCACGCTGCTGGAGACCCAGGACGTATTGCTGGACCCGCTGGAGGGAAGTGAGGTATGGGAGAACCAGGACTGAGAGGGGCAGACTGTCAGACCCTGCTGCAGTAACATGAGAGGTTTTCTAAAGGGAGTCTGGTGCTCAGAGACACTACCACTTTAGTCCACAGGGGGCGACACTAAATGAAAGTTCCTTGAAGTGACTCTAATGATGACCCAACTTCTAACATCCTACTACTTGTCCATCATTTTAACTGATCTATTACTGTTTTGACGCTGGACCTCCTTAAACTCTCCCCTACATGGTCACACTTGTATACACCGGTGTTCGCTTTGTGCCGTAATGGAGTCGCAGCGGAGCTAAATGAAAGCAGAGGGCCTGACGGTGAGAGCGCCGTACAGATCAAGCAGTGGGTCTTAATCACCGGAGGACTGAGTGAAGGCTCTTTAGCTGAATGGATTTTAATGGGGCTAGTTAGGAAGATGAAAAGACACTGTCCCCGTGCACTGCATCAACACATTACCACAGGTAATGACCCTGTAGGTAATGGAGGAGGGAGGGACTCCTCTAATCCAAACTTCAAGGAGAAACTTCATGCTATATGTTAAATCTACACCCACAAGCAGCACAGAGGCAGAAAACCGTATTATTTATTTATTATTTCGGAGAAGACTTTTAATGATGGCATATATTTTCAGCTCGGGCCTTGCTGCAGACTGCTCGTAGCTACACCTGAGAAAACGGAGGTGGAGGAGGATGAGTCGAACTAAGAACTAACTAGGAGACAGCTGTTTGTGCCCCGTGTGAAACGCAAAACCGACGTTGATTTATTCATCACGTAACTGCTGTACGCAAGTAACTCCACTTCTGTTATTTTAAACCAAACCACAATCTTTTCCTAAACCAACTATTTCCCGATATTTTCCTGAACCTAACTAAGTATTTCACGATCTTTTATTAAACTAAGTATTTCACGATCTTTTCCTGAACCTAACTAAGTATTTCAC